AACAACCGCGCCTGGCTTGACGGAGAAACCAGGAGAACAGCTGTGCATATTTACGACAGTGCACTTTTACTTTCGCCCTCTGGGGGGAGCCTCGCTGGAAAATCAACACCGGTTGCATAGTATACCTTTAATTTTGATAGATATGCATGAACAGGAGCAAAGAACAGGGCTGATTCCCCACCAGGCCTGAAACTGGTGGTGGAGTGAAGATAGATGAAGTTGGTCAGTCTGTAGACTGCTGGTTGGAGAGACGGTCTGCTGAGCTTTATGGGGAGATCCAGTGGACTGCGTGAGCTGATACTAGAACTTCACTCAGAGACCCGGAAGATAGAAGTCTAGTTTGGGTAACACAGGTTGAGAGAACCTGTCCATGATGAGCAAGCATGAAGCAACAGTGGAGAGGAAAAACTCCCCATTGGAAAGAAATCTCTGGCAGAACCAGGCTCAACATGGCAGACCGGTTAAGATGAGACAGGGAACGCAGTAAGAGGAATGACACTCTGGTGGGTTGAAACAGTGAAGTCACACAGCGCATCTGCCGCCTGCGCACAGGAGCAGACTAGTGCGTATCGGAGGCCTGTTAAGATTAACTTTGGATGCCGATTGGCTTTCGTGGAGATGTGGTTCAAAGCTGATTGACTGTGTCACTGGTGGATGTATGAAAAGCAATGAGTTTCTTCAGCTGAACTTCCGCCTAGTCTCCATTACCTTCGCAGTAATGACAAATCTTCTTTAGCGGCGAGTAATAACATGTGAGAAACCAGCAGCACCACAGAAGTTGCGGGGATTGGTGCACATATGTGCAGCAAGATTAAGGTAGTTCTATCCATCAAACTGGCTCTTCATAACTTTTATAGTCCAGGAGCCTCTCTTTAATGGAGAGGCTGTGAAAGAAATCACTTCATGTCAGTCAGTAGGAGGGATGGGACACTTTCACAGAATATACATGCTATATTCCTAAGCTAAATGCTTGCTACTTAGGATTTTCCTAAAATGAAAACTTTCAGCATATATGGAGCACCTCCCATGAGCCCTAGCGGATACTTTTCGGGAACTTCTTTTTGCGTATTGCGTACTTCTATTCATTTTTATTGAAAGTGCTTTCCCTGAAACTTTCACTGATCTGGCAGATATTTGCTACATTCTGGGTTTTTCCTGGAACTTAAAGGTCACAGTCTTGAATTTGGATAGTTGCTTTCTTAAAACTTGCTCACAGTTGGTATTCGCTACTTTTCTCACAGTTTACTGATGAGGAAGCAGTAAGTTTGGTTACAGTGGCTCTTCTTATTGAAAAATAACTTTCCAGAGACATCTTTCAACTGGCTGGTTACTTGTATGGAACATTCATGTAACTTTTCAGGAAGTTAATGAGTATCTTTACAGACTTTAGAACTGACTGTATTTTTTATTATTAGGTTTACTGCATGTTTTATTTGACCTCTCATTGAACTTACTGGTTACTTTTCTGAACTTTACCAGTACTTAAAAATAATACTTATTTTACATAATAGTACTAGAATATTTTCAATAGTTCCTGTAATGGAACATACTTCTTCGTGCTTCCTGGTTTCCTAGATAACTTCAATTTAAATTACTGGTAACTTAATTAGGGATGCACGATATTGGGATTTTGGCCGATATCCGATATGCCGA